AAGGAACTACTTAGGAGCCTATATGGGTAGACCTTTTAAACCCGCGTTTTTTTTTTCCAGGTGTCATGCTGCGGGTGTCGTGGCCCCCCCAACCCAAAGCCAAGCCCTCAACTCGCCAGCGCCACATGGGAGTTTCCGAAAATAAGGGGGTGGCTTATTTTGGGGTCCTTATAATAAGGATCCTACTGTTTAGGGTACTGTATTAGGGTCCCCTATTTTCGGAAGCCCTCACCTGCACCCCGTCCGCAGCGTACATGGCTCATTCAGAGTACATTGGCCCATAGTAGGGATTTGGGGTGCTTGTAGGTGAGAAGATGGACGTTGCCCTCTTAGCTCGGGGCCCAGCATTCAAGGGGTTTGGAGGAGCCACAAGAGACCCCTAAGGTTTCGGCTTTACGGTTTTTTGGGGGCTTTGGAGCTTAGGGTCTGGGGGTTTCAGGGCTTTCGGGTTTCAGGGTTTAGGGTGTCAAGGGTTGTGGGGTTTACGGTCTTGGGTCACGTCCCTTCCCTCCCGGCCCCCCGGCCTCAGAGTTGGTTGGGCTGGGGTCCGGGGTTCAGGCGCCAGTGTTGCACTTCAGGAGATCTGGCTGGTGTGTTCGTTATAATTGTTTTAATGTCGCGTCTGAAGCCAGAAGCTACAGCTCCGCGGCCCCTTAAGACCTCTCCAGGATTTGAGCCAAGACCGCAAGATCGGGCAATCAGCAACAACAACGGCCCCCTCAAGCCCAATCCCACAACTCTGATGACTACTCGGAAAGTCCCTGTAGATGCAAAGTTCCAAGATGCCGGGGACTTTTCACACCGAGGCCTCCGATGTTGACCAGCTGTCGCAGCTTCTTGGGGAGCGCTTTGGCCGGCAAAACGACGGTTTTGAAAGGGATGAGGCGGATGGCGGATGAGGAGTCCGGGGGGGACTTTTCGATGGTTCACATGCGGGGGCTCTGCTTTAAGGTACCCCCTTTACAAACTCTAAATCCGGACCCCGTTCTGCTACGTCAGCCCTCGGTTCTCTTTGCGTAGCTTTCGGTTAGTCAAAGACTGCCCCCAAGTCCTTGGGGAAGTGAAGCTCAGGTGCCATCTGCACGAGGAGAGGGAAGCATTGGCGTGGCAGCCTCGTCGTTTGGGAATAGGGTTCGGGGTTCAAGCGTCTGGAGATTTGGATTTTCGGGCGGGTTCAGGAGTGAAAGGTCAAAGGATTGAGGACAGCTGCATCCCGAGAGTGCCCATGTAGACCGGTAGCTTGGATAGTTTTTTGAACTAGGACTCCAAATCAGCCTTAACGGATAGTCGTGGCGAGCACAAAAGGCGCAAGACGCAGCCGGACCTTACAGCCACACCTTGCGAGCTCGAGGCAAGTGATGATGCCAATCGCCACCTACGCAGGGCAGCTAGCGTCAGGCCCTTCCGACCGCACTGAACCCTAAATTTTAACAGGCTGCCTAAATAACCCAAACTCTCCCTGAACCCAGCCATGACCCGGGAAAAAGGCCCGACTCAAACCCTATACCCTCAACTTTCCCCGGAAAAAAGGGGTTGACTCCCCCCCTGTGTTCCAGGCATCCAAGCGCCCCTTCCAGGAAGCTCCGTCTCCGCGGCCGCGGCTTCCGGGTCAGCCTGGCAGGGTTCCCGAAAGCCCAGAAAGTCTGAACCCCAAGTCCCAAATCTAAGCCCTAAACCCGAAACCCCTAAACCCCTAAACTCCTAAACCCTACACCCCAAAACCCTTAAACCTCTAACCCTAAACCCAAAACCCTTAAACCTCTAAACCCTAAACCCTGTAAGCCAGAAGCCCAAAACCTGGGCCCCAGCTTTTCTGAGCTTTTTGACGCGTGCCCGGCGGTTTGCGCCTTTGCTCGGCTGCCGCAAGGCCGTGGGCGGAAGAATTGATGAGACGGCTGCAAGGCTCCGTGGACGGAGGGCTCCGTAAAGGGATCCAGAAGGGTTTTTTTGGGGTTTCTCTAAGGGTACTACAAGGGTTCTATATGGGTAGTTCTCTAAATTACGGTCCCTTTTGGGGCTCCTTTTTATGAGTGTGCCGTACTATATTGGGGACTGGTCTCCTGTGGTTGCCAGTAAAGCACACGATGCGGAGTGGTCGGAGACACGAATCCTCAAAGTTGCATCCCCGCCAGAACTAGTCGTTCCTGAGAACTCCATCAGAGGTGTGTTGAAGGAGGTCCTTCATGTCTCCCCGGCTCAAAACAGCCCAAATCCGGCACGCAGTATGGTCTCCATAAAATAAGCCTAAAACTGTTAACTCTACAAATCTGAACCCTACGCCCTAAATCCTGTATGGGCAGTTCTCTCTAAATTGGGGTCCCTTTTAGCGTCCTTTTAACGAGGGCGGCTACGCCTATACGCCTTTAACCCTAAGCCCTAAATCCTAAACCCTAAACGCCTAGACGGTCGCCTATACGCCCTGTAAAAGAGGGGGATCCCTTGGGTTCAGGCTGCTCCTCGCCAGAGGAGGGTCGCGAGACGTGCGCCGAGATGTCCGGGCTCCCGGAACTACGAACTCGAAGATTCGAAGATCCTTGTCCTCGAACCCAAACCGTGCCTACCTACCTTAAGGTACCATAACCTACGTTTTGGTAGGCGCGTATCAAGAATCCTAAGACGGACTTTATGGGGACCCTTCGAAAAAGGTAGGTGTTGGTTACTGTTAGTTCGAACCCACCCACCCTTGCCGCTCAGCTCGAGGCTCCTGATTGATCCGGAGCCCAGGCCCTGACCATAGAATAGAAGCATAAGTAAAGAGTAATGGCATTTTCGGTTCTGTAGCCTAGCTATACTATGACATACCGCCAAGGCCTATTCCAATCATTAACGCCTTTCCTCAAAAAGTTGCAGGCCTTTAACCTCGAAGGCCCGCCGCCTCTATCGCCAAAGCCCCTCAGCGAAAGAGTCGTGAACTTTCGAGGATTGCGGCCTTTCATCAGGATCAGCAGCAAAGCAGCCAGCCCGGGTCCCAGCAGAATTGCTTGGCTCGGCTTTCATTCTGAGAAGCTTCGGGGAGTTTGCAGCCTTGGAGGCCCTCCAACGGTCGGTAGTTCTCTAAATTAGGATCCCCTTTTTAGGGTCCATTTTATAAGGGTGCCGTACTATATTGGGGACATAAAATGGGACCCTATTTTAGAGAACTGCCCATATGCCTCCTTACTACCATGCCGAAAGGCTGAGGTTGCAATTGCAATAGGCTGGGCGCTTTGAAACACCCCTTCAAAAGCCTCCAACAGCCTCCTTAAACCCCCCAGCCCTAACGCCTAGATCCTAAACCCTATAATCCTCAAGTCCTATAAGGACTAAGGGCTTATGAGTTAGGTTTGAGGGTT